ATTTGATTTACATTTTTTAAAATACCCCACCCATGAGTAACCCACCTTAGCTGAACTTCTGGCACACATTAACCCTCTCCTTAAACCTGCTATCACACTCAGCTTTCTTAAACGGCGAACGTGTGAATCCCCTTTTTACAGCTCGTCACATCTGCAATTAAAGCAATTAATTAAGTTGGTTTTCCCCAACCCACCAAGCCGCAAAACTCGAACTGTAAAAGAAAACGATATCCTGACGAACGTTCTTTCAGAACATTTACCTTTAACCCATCCCTGAGACATTATTTTAAATGCCAATTACAGTTGGAGCAGGAGCAATGGGTATGGGATGTGGGATATAGGAAATAGGATATAGAAAGAGTGGGTGCTGGCGCAAATTGCTGCAAATCCATGGCGGATGGCCACCATACTCCAACATTTTCCTACCACTCACTCGCTTTGTGAGTGGGCTGGTGTGTTGGCACAGGCATTATTCGTAACGAGCGACATGATCATAAAAATAAACGCAAAATATAACACAAAACGCAAACACAATAATGGCCTGGGAGTGCCTTAGTTTTTATTTTTACACCTGTTTACAAACAAAGCAAAAGCAAAGGCGAGCGGAGGACGAGCAAATTTGACTGTGCCAGCACGCACACAATTAAATTTCCGGTACAACACCTACATGGGAATCCCCCGAAAAACCCTCCAAAACCCTCGAAGCCCCCCTTAAAATACACTTTGATTTTCGTGCCACAACTTTCTGTGTGTTTGTGTGTGAGTTAGTGTGTGTGCAGCGTGTTTGAGCCATTAAAATTACGCCTAACGGAGTTGCAAACGCACCCAAACTCAAACAATAAAATACACAGAAAAAAATCTAAGGAAAAAATAATCTTCAAATTTAAAAAATAAAGTATGTTAAAAAATTTATATTTCGTTCATAACGTTGATGACCATATATTTATTTTTAACAATATGATTTTTTTTGGATTAGATAAGAAATACTTTTGAAATTTTTGATACACTGAGTATTCGTATTTTCAAAAACAACTCAACATTTACAACCAAACATTTTTGAAAAAGGGAATGCTATTTGATTTGATAAGCAATACTTGGGAATTTTCATCTTATCAGCACTTTTTATAAGCTCTATATTTAAACCAATTACGTTTATTATTTTGTTATAGAAAATCCAATTAAAATCCTAAATTACTATTTCTCAGTGCACAAATAGGAGCCGTAAAAATGTGCTAGGCTCACGCGGCGTATGAGTATTTTTCTGACTCACTCTAACTGCTCCAACACGTTTCATTTGAAATCCATGGCACGTTTGCTCCAACAACACCACCAGCCACCCGGAGACACGGAGCAATTTTCAATATTCCCAACGCCCGATGGGCGGTGGAAAATAGGAGGTGGGCGTGGCAGGTGGCGGATATAATGCGGCGACGACAATGCCTGAGTTGCTGTCAAAATTGGCAAAAATCGTCGAGGCCTCGTCGCGCTAACTAAAAATCAAAGGCGTCTCGGCCCACTTCGATTCCTCGAAGGGCAGCTACGTGTGTGGGCCATAATATTTATGCTGCTGCACAAACAGCGAAACAGCCAAACAGACACACTCGCACACACTCCCCTGCAAACTTAGGAGGGCACACGTTGCGTATACGTAATATTTGCTTGGGATTATTACAGGCTGGCACTTGAGACGCGCACACGTCGCACCCCCAATAAAAATTTATATATGCTTATGTATGTGCCTGCACTTATATTAAAATTTCGTTTAATTTCGAGTTTTGAATTTCATTTTTATGATTCCTTTCGCTTTTTTCGCATTTGGCCCCTGTCTATTTATTTTCCCCGCCAGGTGTTCGCCGTAACGTGATAAAAGTTTAATTATATTTGCTGCCGAGGAGATTGGATATTTATTCTGTTGCTACTCATTGTAATTTGATTTTTAATATTTTTTTACTTTGTTTATTTGGTTGCTTTGCGTTGTAATTCGATTTTACATGAGCTTTCTTTGGATTTTATTTTGCAGGGAGGTAAAACAACCTCAAAAAGGTCAATAATGAATTAAGGTAGATTTTTTCATTAAACACAAATGGGTTGTAAGCAGCGCTGTCTGCCTATTTATATAAAATGCTTCCGAAAAATGTAGAAATTATGGAATAGAAGTATAAGTATTTGTTGTACTGACATAACTGGCATATCACCCATAGCAATTAGTCATTTAAAATTATCTTGAGCAACCTGCACATTAATTGTTGATATTCTTGAACAAATAAATACAAATAAAATTGATTAAAAATCATTCCGCTACTATTTAATTAGCAACAGCTTGAGGCCAGCGCATACCTTTCCGGAAATGCATTTGGGGCTTATAAATTTCATTAGGCAAGAGCGAAAACCTTCTGACATTGATGTCGGCTTAGACTGTCTAAGGACCTTACCGACTCCACTGGACGGAATGACTGTCCTGTCTGCTGCTTTCTGTTTTCCGTCTGATGTTTGTTTATCTCCCTTTTGGCTTTGCCTAATGGACGCCTGCCAACAGCTGGCAGGACACTTTGAGCAACCAACTCAACATCTCCTGGCTGCTGCCAGTGGAAACATTGTATTCGAGTCAGGTGCGTTGTGAATTTTGCTGCAACAGTCATTATAATAATGCCACAACGAAGTGTGCTCGGAAATAATAATCAAGTTGCTCGGATGTTCAGGGGAGAGTGAGGATGGTTGCTGGATCTAGGTTGGGGAACACAGCTGCTGGCACTTGATGGTTTCGTGTAGGTTGTAGACCAGCCAAGGCACTTAAAATTTCATTTAAATATGGACTCCTCGTTGAATGTGCAATCGTGCATTGTTGCACCGTTGCAAGTGCAATAATCGCCTCAAATAATAACTTTAAGTGCATAATTTTATAAAGTTCTCGCTGGTCTAGCTGTAATGGCTATTCTTGCCATTGAAAGTACGTGAGTACATTTGCCATTGGCTTGGCAAGAACCATTTCAAATTGGAGTCAAGGCAACGCAAATAAATACCTTTATATTTCTCTGCACTTAATTGCATGTATTTTAAGGTTTTCCCTTGTAAAATTATAGTATAATAGATCTAAAAGCCAGAGAGGTCGATGCCCATACCAGAAGTCATTGTACACCCATCCATTTTTGATAGATTTAGCGTCTGAAAATCCCTTGTGTCTGGCAGTTGCCACAACATTCAATAAGTTCAGCCGCCTGTCTGTTTCGAGTTACTGATTTCCGGGTTTTCCTTACCCCCTTGCATTTGGATTTAATTGATTTTGTGCAATGGCTGCAATTCAACCAGCAAAAGTCGACCCTCCCATTAATTCAAAACATTTAGCGCAGTTGTTTGTAGAAACGCATTTAGCGCTAATTGTTCGCATATATAAAGTATCCTTTTTCAATCGTTTGCATAACAAATCGTGAACCGAAACGGCAAATGAGTGAGTGTAAAAAGTTCGCCCGACGACAATTTATTTAAATATTTCTGACACGCACTGCACAAATGGCCGGTTCTGATTAAAAACAGATTTGTTCAGATTGGTTTTATAATAACCTTACCATACAGACAATTGACGTTGTCAGGCTGTAACAGTAACAGTCAAGCTTTGAATGCAAATTCGTTCTGTAATCGGCTGCAGACTTTATTTTATTTTTAGCAGAAACTGTTGTGCGGTTTTTCAATTTATTACAGGAATAATCTGCTTTGCAGTCGATGAAAGCAACTAAATTCCACTAAAGAAAGATGAAAATTATTGTTTAAATATTTTTGCCAGTTTATTATTCGTTTCTCTGTCATAGAAAACTTATGGTACTCAACAAATACGCCCAAGTTTAAAGTCAATCAAACTTTTTAATTTTCATTTACATTAAAATTATGTTGGCTTTTATTTGCCGTGCCATTTGTTGGTGTCGCTCGGCGCTTTTGATAAAAAAATTTGCATACAACAAATTTCCCACTTCACTTTCCGGAAAAGTTTGCCTTTTTACATTTGCATAACTCAACATCTAGACAAACAGAACTGGAAGGAGAGTGAAACCTAAGTGATAACATTAAAAGGGAAAGTCACGAAAAGCAAATATGAATCATACGCCATGTGTGGCAAATGCGATGAAACAAACATTTCGGGTGCAAAGTAAAAATAATTTGCAAGAATAAATAATTATATTCGGAATTAAGGGGAAAGTTTGGTAGATAAAAGTTAATGGGATCCTGAAACGAAATGGAAAAAATTTCCCATGAGAATCGTTTAAACCTCTCGTTTAAAAAAATTATAGGTGAACCCCAAAAACTCTTTAAAGAATGAATTAGTGTTAAGTCCATTCAACTTTTATTAACTTCCAACCATAATATAAATTGACCTGAGACTCGCCAAATTTATTCATTATCACTTTTGAGTTAATCTACCTACATATAAAGATTTCGTCATATAAGTTCCTTTAACTCTGTAGGTAAATAAATAATTCGCGTGCTAACATATTGGCGATATCGTCAATTGTTATACTTTTTAGCACTTTTTTCACAAATAAATATTTGTTTGTTGTGAGTTGTTTAAACTGTGTCTAGAGGTGTAAGATCTGAAGAGACCTTTTCATTGAAGTTAATGACAAAAAATCATTCGTAGAAAACAATCCTAATTATCCTTGTACTTTCACAATATTCCGCTTCTTTACTCACTGGTCTTATAAATTTACCAAGTGTTAACAAACTTCGCGATGTCGTCAATTGTTACACGTCGCATGAGAAGACCTTTTGGCACATTTTTCCAGCGTCTAATCAAGATATTACCCAATTAACAGGTCCGAGATAATTGAGATGGCGTCAAAATGAACAATCAAACAAGGGGGTTTGAACTAGATATATTTTATTACAGGGCAAAAACACACCCATTCAGACCAGAGAGAGCAAATGATAAGTCGAGCGAGGCGCGAGAATCCAACCGGCAAGTCACAATGCCAATTGAGGCTCTGATGTGTAAGGCAAACACGAGCCGGCAGAGCAATCTAAAATCCACAATCTGCGATACGATCTCGAGATCATTATCAGTGGGATGATCTCGGCCAGTGCTATTATTCGACAGTTGCGATTTGTGGAGGACAGACGTGCGATTAACTAAGAAATCCGAATTCCGATCCTTACTAGCGATGTATCCGCAACTTGAAACAGAAGCCGAGGCTCTGGAAAATGCCACCGCGCGGGCTCTTTTACCAGGTGCCATAAGTAAACCCGCCAGTGAAGCCGGAAAGGCTCCCAAAACGAGCAAATGGAAACGCCGCCTACATCGCCATATTCCGGTCTTCCAATGGCTACCACTTTACACCACCGAATGGGGAATCGACGACTTTATAGCCGGTATTACCCTGGGACTCACGATCATACCCGAAAGTATGGCCTGTGCCCTATTGGCAGGTCTGCCAGCTCGTTACGGATTGTGTTCAGCGTTTATTGGACCCCTGATATATCTGATCTTTGGCTCCATCGACAAAGTCATCATCGGACCCACCAGCCTGGTGGCTCTGGTCAGCGTCCAGTTCACCGTGGGACGACCCATCGAATTCGCCTTCCTGCTCACCTTTCTCAGCGGAATTGTACAGATCATTATGGGCACCATGCAAATGGGTGAGTCTGGACACACTGTAGGAAAAATGTCATAGTTCTGGTAATATTCATCATAAGCCTCTAGTTAGAAAAATTAACTAGAAAATCGGTTTGACACAGAGTTTACAAATTTGTTTTTCGAAACATTTTTAATAAATTTATTTTTAACCCAGAAGTACAACTGCACCACTTAATCATAAAGTTATGTGAAAGTTACTATATTTTCTACAGTTTATATGATTTATGTTTTCTTTAAATGTATTATAAAATGAAAAAATATATACTAGATAAATACATTTAAGTAGATATTATTAAAATTTATTACAAGTTTTTTTTAAGTGCATGGCGTCTAAATATCAGCTGGTTTACGTGTGATCTCACTGCTAAATTGACTTAAGTGCGACATGTGTTACTTCCCCCATGAACTTGGACCAATTGAATTGAAATAGATCCGCTTTAAAGCTCGCTTTAAGCACCTAATTGAGAGTGCTGCACGATAACTGTTATGCGGTTTGTCCGTGATTAGCACTATTTGGCTCAATTAACACTTCTTCGGATGAGATTCGCTGTGTGGATTTGTTTGCGAAACTAGAATAGATCCAAAAAAATTGAGTGGGTGGTTTGATAAGGCACATAAAGACAGGTGTCATGTATGTATTGAGACTTGGTAAGTCCAGTGAAAACTGGAAAAATTAGACCCTCGATTGTTATTTATCCATCCTTAGAAATCCACTTATAAAGATTAAATTCCCATATGATAGCATGCACATTGGAACAACTTCATAAAAGTTTGACCAAAGAACAATGAGTTTAAGAATTGATTATTATCTTTCATATATTAAAATATTGAATTAAGCATGTTTTTGAATTTTCCAGGCTTCATCTTTGAGTTTATCTCTATGCCGGTGATCAAAGCCTTTTCATCGGCCACTGCCATCCTGGTTATAGAATCTCAGCTAAAAGTACTGCTGGGCATTAAGTACTTAGTAGCGGGACTTCTAAATTCAGTTGGAATGCTAAGTTCCCGCATTGAAGAGTCCAATATGGCAGATCTCATAGTTGGGATTTGTGCCATTGTTTTTTTGCTCCTCTTGGAGGTAAGATTAAATTGTATTATTAATTATTATATGTAATATCTATAATATTATTTATTCCCTGCAGTTATTGGATCGAGTAGCTAGTAATGAAAAGCGAAGCAAAATTTTAAGGATATGCTGTCGGTATTTGTCCACTTCAAGGAACACATTGATTGTACTCATTGCTGGCATTGTCTCCTATATTTGGATTCACAAGAGTGGGCAAGTTCCATATGCTCTCAGCAAGAGTGCCCTGGCCACTCTGCCCAATTTTACAGTGCCAAGTTTGAATATTGTAACCCCCGAGCGTAGCTACAGTTTCTGGGAGGTTTTAAAGGAACTTAATATTGGTATTATAGTCATTCCAATTGTTGGCATACTGACGAATATATCGATTGGAAAATTAAGTGAGTATAAAGGGCGGATAAAAGAAATATATTTTTTATATTTACCTTTATTTCAGCTCCCAAGGGATTGGTGGATACGAATCAGGAGCTCCTCACCGTAGGCCTATGCAACATGTTCGGATCTTGTGTCCAGGCAATGCCTTCATCAGGAGCCTTTACCCGTTACGCCATTAGCACTGCCTGTGGCCTCAGGACTCCAATGGCCAATCTGTATTTGGGTAAGTCCAACGAATTTTAAAGGCAGTCTGCCAGAGCTCAACTCAAAAATTAAGGGTAACAGCGCACAACATTTTCAATAGGAACCCAAAACTACACTTCTAAGTTTCATAACTTGGGTATAAATTTGTGGTGGAATTTCCTTATAACCTACATAAAAATATTTCTTTTTAAAGAGGGTCACACTTTTAACCTATTTTCATGTTCTATTTTTTGGGATTTCCAATGGCTTTCCGTATTGGACCCAAAATTGCACTTCTAAGTATCATAACATGTGTAATTGGATCCCGATTTAGACGTGGGATACCTCTATGAATTCGTGGTGGAATTCCCTTATAATCTGCATCAAAATATTACTTTTAAAGGAGGGTCACAATTTTGACCCATTTTCATGTTCGATTTTTCTGTATTTCCAATGGCTTTCCGTATTGGACCCAAAATTGCACTTCTAAGTATCATAACTTGGATAACTGCATTCCGATTTTGACGAGGGATACCTCTATGAATTCGTGGTGGAATTCCCTTATAATCTGCATCAAAATATTACTTTTAAAAGGGGGTCACAATTTTGACCCATTTTCATGTTCGATTTTTCGGTATTTCCAATGGCTTTCCGTATTGGACCCAAAAGTGCACTTCTAGTTATCATAACATGTGTAATTGGATCCCGATTTTGACGAGGGATACCTCTATGAATTCGTGGTGGAATTCCCTTATAATCTGCATCAAAATATTACTTTTAAAAGGGGGTCACAATTTTGACCCATTTTCATGTTCGATTTTTCGGTATTTCCAATGGCTTTCCGTATTGGACCCAAAATTGCACTTCTAAGTATCATAACATGTGTAATTGGATCCCGATTTAGACGTGGGATACCTCTATGAATTCGTGGTGGAATTCTCTTATAATCTGCATCAAAATATTTCTTTTAAAAGAAGGTCAGAATTTTAACCCATTTTCATGTTCGATTTTTCGGTATTTTCAATGGCTTTCAGTACTGGAACCCAAAATTGCACTTCTAAGTATCATAGCATGTGTAATTGGATTCCGATTTCGACGTGGGATACCTCTATGAATTCATGGTGAAATTCCCTTATAATCTGCATCAAAATATAACTTCTAAAAGAGGGTCACAATTTTAACCCATTTTCATGTCCGATTTTTCGGTATTTCCAATGGCTTTCAGTATTGGAACCCAAAATTGCACTTCTAAGTGTCATAACTTGGATAATTAGATTCCGATTTTGACGAGGGAAACCTATATGAATTCATGGTGAAATTCCCTTATAATCTGCATCAAAATATTACTTCTAACAGAGGGTCACAATTTTAACCCATTTTCATGTCCGATTTTTCGGTATTTCGAATGGCTTTCAGTATTGGAACCCAAAATTGCACTTCTAAGTATCATAACTTGGATAATTGAATTCCGATTTTGACGTGGGATACCTCTATGAATTCATGGTGAAATTCCCTTATAATCTGCATCAAAATATTACTTCTAAAAAAGGGTCACAATTTTAACCCATTTTCATGTCCGATTTTTCGGTATTTCCTATGGCTTTCAGTACTGGAACCCAAAATTGCACTTCTAAGTGTCATAACTTGGATAATTGGATTCCGATTTTAACGTGGGATACCTCTATGAATTCATGGTGAAATTCCCTTATAATCTGCATCAAAATATAACTTCTAAAAGAAGGTCACAATTTTAACCCATTTTCATGTTCGATTTTTCGGTATTTCCAATGGCTTTCAGTATTGGAACCCAAAATTGCACTTCTAAGTGTCATAACTTGAATAATTAGATTCTGATTTTGACGTGGGATACCTCTATAAATTCGTGGTGGAATTCCCTTAAAATCTGCATCAAAATATTACTTTTAAAAGAGGGTCACAATTTTAACCCATTTTCATGTCCGATTTTTCGGTATTTCCAATGGCTTTCAGTACTGGAACCCAAAATTGCACTTCTAAGTGTCATAACTTGGATAATTGGATTCCGATTTTAACGTGGGATACCTCTATGAATTCATGGTGAAATTCCCTTATAATCTGCATCAAAGTATAACTTCTAAAAGAGGGTCACAATTTTAACCCATTTTCATGTTCGATTTTTCGGTATTTCCAATGGCTTTCAGTATTGGAACCCAAAATTGCACTTCTAAGTGTCATAACTTGGATAATTAGATTCTGATTTTGACGTGGGATACCTCTATAAATTCGTGGTGGAATTCCCTTATAATCTGCATCAAAATATTACTTCTACAAGAGGGTCACAATTTTAACCCATTTTCATGTCCGATTTTTCGGTATTTCCAATGGCTTTCAGTATTGGAACCCAAAATTGCACTTCTAAGTATCATAACTTGGATAATTGAATTCCGATTTTGACGTGGAATACCTCTATGAATTCATGGTGAAATTCCCTTATAATCTGCATCAAAATATTACTTCTAAAAGAGGGTCACAATTTTAACCCATTTTCATGTCCGATTTTTCGGTATTTCCAATGGCTTTCAGTATTGGAACCCAAAATTGCACTTCTAAGTATCATAACATGTGTAATTGGATTCCGATTTTGACGTGGGATACCTCTATTAATTCATGGTGAAATTCCCTTATAATCTGCATCAAAATATTACTTCTAAAAGAGGGTCACAATTTTAACCCATTTTCATGTTCGATTTTTCGGTATTTCCAATGGCTTTCCATATAGGACCCAAAATTGCACTTCTAAGTATCATAACATGTGTAATTGGATCCCGATTTTGACGTGGGATACCTCTATAAATTCGTGGTGGAATTCCCTTATAATCTGCATCAAAATATTACTTCTAAAAGAGGGTCACAGTTTTAACCCATTTTCATGTCCGATTTTTCGGTATTTCCAATGGCTTTCCATATTGGACCCAAAATTGCACTTATAAGTATCATAACATGTGTAATTGGATTCCGATTTTGACGAGGGATACCTCAATGAATTCGTGGTGGAATTCCCTTATAATCTGCATCAAAATATTACTTCTAAAAGAGGGTCACAATTTTAACCCATTTTCATGTTCGATTTTTCGGTATTTCCAATGGCTTTCCATATTGGACCCAAAATTGCACTTCTAAGTATCATAACATGTGTAATTGGATCCCGATTTTGACGTGGGATACCTCTATGACTTCGTGGTGGAATTTCCTTATAATCTGCATCAAAATATTACTTCTAAAAGAGGGTCACAATTTTAACCCATTTTCATGTCCGATTTTTCGGTATTTCCAATGGCTTTCCATATTGGACCCAAAATTGCACTTCTAAGTATCATAACATGTGTAATTGGATCCCGATTTTGACGTGGGATACCTCTATGAATTCGTGGTGGAATTCCCTTATAATCTGCATCTAAATATTACTTTTAAAAGAGGGTCACAGTTTTAACCCATTTTCATGTTCGATTTTTCGGTATTTCCAATGGCTTTCCATATTGGACCCAAAATTGCACTTCTAAGTATCATAACATGTGTAAATGGATCCCGATTTTGACGATTTACATCAAAATATTACTTTTAAAAATGGGTTACATTTTAACCCATTTTCATGTTTGATTTTTCCATATTTTAAATGGTTTTCTGCACGGAACCCAAAGCTGCACCTTTAGATTCCAGTTTTTATCCTTATATTCTGTAATACCCAAACATGTTTATCCCTTCTTTTATCTTGTTTTTAATGAGTTTAAAAATTGACCCAACTGGTATTTCTGATTTGTTTCTCACTGTGTAGGCATCATCGTGCTGCTGGCCCTGAGCTACCTGAGTCCGTACTTCAACTACATCCCGGAAGCGACGCTGGCGGCCATCCTGATATGCTCGATATTCACGCTGCTGGACTTCAAGCTGCCGATGCGATTGTGGCGCGACTCGAAGCGCGACTTTGCCACCTGGTTGCTGTGCTTCCTCGTGTGCGTGCTTTTTGGCGTGGAGGTGGGCCTGTTCGTGAGCATTGTGGTGACCGCCCTGCACCTGCTCTACCTGTGGGCACGTCCCGAGATCCGGGTGAAGATTGAGCAGCTGGAGGAGATGCAGTACATCCGGGTGACGCCGGGCAACGGTGTCTACTTTCCGGCCATCAATTATCTGAGGGAGCGAGTACTCAAGGCCTGTACCCAGGCGGACTTTAAGATTACGGTGGTAATCGATGGGCAAAGGATCAATGGTATGGATTATACCGCTGCCCAGGGTATATCGAAGCTATCGAGTGATCTGTGTAGACAGGCAGATGCCTCCAGTTCTACTCTCCTGATCCTGTTCAGATTTCCGGAGCACTTGCAACGCCTCATTGATCACACGGATAACTTGGTCTTCTGCGAGAGCGAGAACAAAGTCAAGGAGTTCTTAACTCAGGAGTCCCTGCGCAATGGCTACATAAACCTGAAGGAGCACATAAGGGCCTCCATCGATTTGGGCTATAAAATCGACATCGATTAAGGAATACCTACCTGCATATTCCGCCCCCTAGTTAGCTGCTTGTGTTATTTATTTAAGTTTAGTTGGAGAAATTGTCGTAGCTGGCTGCAAATGGAAATAAAAGTGAAGGAAAAGTGGAACAAATGCCTTGATGGCAGCAATTTATAAAATCCCCCCCCAAACCCAAACCCAAACTGACCTATGGAGGAGATGGGAATGGAAATGGGGCTGGGGGATGGGCGGAATAGATGCGGTGCCGCTGGCGACGCCGTCAATGATTGCCAAGCTAATGGATTTCTGTTTACTTTTTCACTTAGAGCGGGCGCCAAGGAGGAAAAGCAGCAGGAAAAGCAGCAGAAACAGCAGCAGCTGGAGCATAAGGAAAAAACAAGGTTTTGAAAAATAGCGCAAAAGAAATTAGAGAAAAGCGAAAGCGCACAGCTAACTTTTCTAACCAAAAAAAAAAAAGAAACGGAAAAGAAAAAAAACAAGGTGCGCTGCAAAAAAGGACGAAAAACACAGCTGAAAAGAAACTGCAAGAAATTAAACTAAAATCCTAGCGTAAAGTGGATCAAACGCAGTAAAAACAAGCCATAGTATAAATTAAATTAGTCAAGACCGAAAAATGACTACTCTTTCGAGTAAAAAAGCCGAATAAATCGAAAATCCAACATCAACGTCGAAATAAATAAAATAAATCAATTACCAGTTTGATAGTTAATTTTAATGAACATTAAATGATATAATATGGAATAATGAAACAATCATATAAATATCACTCCCATTTATTTATCAAAAGAGCACAATTGTTGTAGTTTAATTGAAATAAATAAATAAAATATAAGTTTTAATAATTCTGATATTTAGGAATTGAATTTCAAAGTTAAGGCAACACCTTTAAAATAAGAAGAAACTTGTTTTTTATTTTTATTATAATAATCAGTAAAACCAAGTTCAAAATCAGACTTTTAAAATCAGTTTTACCTTCTTAGGTTATGCGACATTAACTTTTAATATCAAAGGATTTAACTGCAAGGTCTGTTGATTTAATATAACTTATAGAGCATTAAAAACAAAGCAGTAAAAGCCTCGGCAAGGCGAGTTAATTACGTAAGGTTAAGAGAACGAGAAAGGGAGGGGCTTAAGGAGTAAGAAAGAGAGGGCAGGCTAGTTAGACAGAGCAACTACGACCGGACCAAGTCGGTCTTCTAAGTAGATTTGCAGCACTTGAGGCGGTGTAAGTGAAAAGCGGGGCTTCCCCGCCAAAGAACCTCCCATCTTAGCTGCTGTTGATTGCATTGGCAAACGAAGTGAGCAGATTTAATGAAATTTAAAACGCTGTCCGGAACTTGTCCACTGGAAAAGGAGGTGGGATTGTGCGGTTGGCCGAATGCTGATTTACTGGCCAGGTGGCCAAGTCTTAAATCCAGGCCAATGCAAATTTTCGAGTCAGGCTGCTCGGACTGTTAATTATTTCAATGGACTCTATTTGCCAAGCATTTCAGTTTGACTGGCGATTTTCTGCATTGTTAGGCTAATGAGAATTCTAGCTTTCGGCATTGCAAGTAGAGCATAAGAAATTAGGGAGAATTATAATTAATATGCTAATGCAAACCAATTGATGGAGAAATCACTTAATGGCCAAAACCAATGACCATAACAGCGTCAATATCCTACCAATATCCATGTCGACATACCGCAAAAACCAAATATCATTCAAATTGCGGTCCATGCAATCAAATTTTCACACACGAAAAAAAAAAATCCTATACAAATTATCAAAAGCGTAACAATTTTTGAGTTGCATACTTTTGCGGCCGTGGGGATCAAACAGAACTTGTTGACACAACCCGCCCGATTTCGCCAATCCCCCATGATAAACAAACATAAAGCCAAAACAAGCCAGACCGCATTTGTTCTGTGCCTGTTTATTGCTAAATGTGCAATCATTTTTTGCTCCATATTTTCAGATGCAAAATGGCAAACCAGATGATAGTTGGCCGTAGATCTAATAATATTTATTTTCACATGCGGTTAGCAGCATGAAAATCATTTGCTTTGTGCTCAGTCAGGATAAATTTGTATTCCTAAAAAATAGTATTCTTTGTTCTCAATTTCAGAGCAGAATCATTAGAAAAAACGTTACCTTTGTGGGGACTACAGAAATGAATTAAGTAATCAATATTTTGTGTACATTATTTTTTTAGATGCCAATGCCAAAGAGGAAACATACATGAACCCACAAAAAAAATACAAATTAAATTTTCATATGAATTATTTTGCTGGTCACGTATGTGGTATCAGAGGTTGGGGATCCCCAGTGGGGAATTGACCATTGATACGTATTATGTGACTGGCTGACCAAATTTCATTTCCTCAGACTCAGACCCCCCTTTCTCCACCCCTGTTCTTGGGAAAAACTCCCCCCCCTTTTACCACCAGCAGCAACTTAATTGCTTCGCCTACGTCAATGCGACAAAACGGCAAAAGACATAATTAATAGCACAGAGAGGTGGTATGGGAATGGGGTTTTCCCCCCAAGTCCCCCAGTCTATCGATTTTCATTCCAAAAGGGAACTCCGCCAAAGGCAAACTCAGACTCACTCATTCAACTCGCTGGCAATTGGCCTTTGGCCGTAACGCGTTTTAATATGCGCTAAAGTAGTCAAAGCCTAATGGCAAATCAAGGGAAAGCGGAAAATCGAGGGGGAAAATGCTAAGTAAACAAACTCGTGTTTGCCCCGTTTAAATTGTTTAAAATGTCAACTTGATTGCGCCTAATTAAATGCCCAGAATCCTCAAGGACAACAGACTCGAAGCACAAATTCAGAGGGCATAACGAGGCTTGGCAAACAAAAACTTTTAAAACAAGTGCTCGTACAATGAAAATAATTAACAATTTGTACAAAACCTCGAATCTAGAGCGATGCCAATGAGACAGCAAAATTGCTGAGGGGATTCAATTGTTAAAGGCAAAACATCGTTTCAAGGGGTTGTTTACTTAAGTGCCTGGCCACATGAACTGGTTGGAAATTTAATGCCAATTACAAGACGATTTAATTGATGGATTTAAAATAGCCACAACTTGGGTAATGCAAAAATATAGTTGTGGGAATATTTTAATTTATTTTCTTCTTCTAAACTAAAAGAACTAAATCATATATATTTAAGAATAAATCTTCTGAATGGCCATATTGTATTACTCAAGGAAGTGCCTACAACAAGTGGCAATTTATTTAATCCCCCATTTTTTTAGAGAACATTCTAATCAATCAGAGAGGCAATCAAAATGCTTGCTAAATGCAAACAGACACTTAAACTTGGCAAACATCTGCCACATTACGAGTGGAAAGCTTTCCAGCTACAAACTGCAACAGCTTGAAGTGATTGCACTTGAGTTGAAGGCTCGGTTATTAGAATCGCTCGAAACAAAAGTGGGGCAATCAAAATGTGGCCTAAAATAAAAGTTAATGCCGGGCAACAGTTGCAGCAGCACTACCACTTGAATGTGCATATTATATATACCTTCTGAAGATACCGACCACAGCTGCGGACCGTCTTTATGACTGCAGCCACCCACCATCTGCCATAAATTCCCGCTCCTTTATCCTCATTTCTTTATATGCCAATCCTGGGCTTTTCTTTTGTGGTACCGTCTTAAAGCAGGCAAAGTTAAACGAACATCAAAAGGCAACTAATTTGGCTGTAAAAATAACATTAAATCACATTCAAGAGCAACGAATAAAGTAGAGGATATATATATGTGCCAGGTCCTTATATAGATAGAGGAAAATCGAACACACATGTTAGGGTTGCGCTGAGGTAGCCGTTAAGGTGAAGGGACCACTGGCACTCCCCTTTCGCTTTTCGCCCCATCACGATTTGGTCTTTAAGCTTATGTTGCACTTGACTGAGTTTTATGCTTTGATGCTCAATGATTTTATTATTAAAAGCAACTTGTCCCGGTCCAAAGATTTTCCCCCTGGATTTTCCTCCCGTTCTGAGGCTGTGTCTGAGTTCGGTTTCTTCCCATTTTTTTGGGGTTGTCTTTTTATGCCACCCCTGGTCTAGACTCTAGACTTTGGAAATTGCCAACGGCTTTTCCGGCTGCAGCACCTTCACCTTGGGAGTCGCTTGGCTGTCTAAATATGTCACTTGAATTTGATGACGGCCACTTGCGCAGAGGGCAGGAAAAACTGTTGCCTGTTTTCCAACCAAACCCACCAACACACCCACCCACACATGCGATTAAGTTTCTCCGCTCTTTTTCTGTTTTCTTAAAATATTAGTTCCCTTTTTTTTCATACGCTTTTCCTTTGTTTGGGTAGTGGCTATGGGGAAATTGTTTTGCTGCTTTTTATTGTCATCTTTGTTATTTGTTATGGGCCACCCCTTCCACGGCCCCAGTTTTCCAGCACCGTATCTCTATCTGGTATTTGCTCAGACTCAGTTACAGCCACCTCGGGCCATACTCGCACATACTCGCATTTGAGGGCCAAGAGCCAGTTGTCATGAATAATGAAAAAGCAACGTGAATATATTTCCTTAGGTAGTTCGGCAGAGTCGAGGGATCGGTGGAGGTGGATGTGCCAAAGGGAAGGGGATGGGGAAATGAGTGCACAATGGATTGTGTTCCACACAGAGGAAGGTTCGTATCAGGGAACTGAAACTCTCCCATTTCTTTCATCATTAAAGAGTTACTTCCTCTTTCTATTTACACTTTTAATTTGCCTGTGGAAGTCAATCCTAGGTTTGTTTAAATAGGTGAATTATAATCCACTTAGGTAAATCAAAAACACACTAAATATTACTTATAAATATGCAATTTTATTATATTAGTATATTATATGGACTTTAACTATATAACATGTAATTTAAACTTTGAATGTTGCCTAAAAAACTCAAGCTGCTTCTTCACATCTACCACCATTCTCATTTCTGAATGGATTTTCCCAAGTTTCCCCTCTTGTTTTTTCAATTTACTAGCTTTTTTCTTTGAGACTCCTTTGTATTGTTGTCCTTTCGATGGCTGCGATGCTGTTTGCATTCCAAATTCCTTTGGCCACTCGTTGATAAAATCGAAAATCAGCAAAGCAAATAAACCCTCAATAAAGGAGCCCAAAGTGTGAATCGATGGGGATGTGCTACCGATATTACTAAAATAGGGAGTGAGGGCGACTAGATAAATCTCAATGCTAATTAAAAGCGAGCTGCGTAAACTTTAAATGAACTGCCAGCCAGAGAGGCCAAATGACAGTCAATGTCAGATGAATGCAAAATAAACAAAAAGCAAGGAATATTTTTCGCTTAATGAAAAACTTGGCCCAACGCAACGAAAAGTTCAATTCAGGCAAATGTCAGCACAGACAGCAAAAACAACAACAGGGGATGGGGGAGCCCCTAAATGAAAAGTTTTCCACACCCAAAAGAAAACGGCGATGATATTTAGGTTGTGGGTGGGGAAAAGAGGGCGAAGGACTGCAATTTCAGCCTCAAACCAAAGACAACCAAAATGAGTCCCGGATGTGGTGCAAACAAGAAAAACAAAAATGCTAAACCAACAGAATATCACAACAAAAACCGAGCAAAAGATGTTGCTGTTGGCCCTCTGTTCAAACCGCAATACAGATAAAGGCCAAATTACTTTCTGGCCAAGAAGCTGCCGCGACGAACCGCAACTGGAAAACCATCGGACAAACAAGAGCCAAACCCATGGTCATGTTGTACTTTTTCGATGAGTTTATGGTGGGCGATCCTTCGGGGAAAACTTCAACGCCAGCTGAAAATCCAACCCTGGGGATCGGGAAAGCGGAAAAGTCTGAAGCAGATGGCTAAGTTGGTGAGTGCGATTCATAAAGATCCTCGTTGAAGTCGACTAGAGGACGTGAGGGAATCAAAGTGACTGACGCACATGAGACATGAAAGTTTTTCAAGAAGTTCCAGGTAACTAAGGATGGTGAAGTTAATAATAGAACAAGAACATACTTTAATTTTATCATATTTATTCAATATATAACATCTACTTGTACTTTAAGTCGAATCATAAATCAACCTTTTTCACGCCCAATCAAAACTTCCAAGTTTTATCATTAAACCTACAAATATCTAGCCAACAAGAGCACTAAAAACGGTTACATTATCCAAGAGAACCACAGAAAACATTACTAAACCCTCTCCTAATCACTTTAAGAATCCGAAACTTTCTTCATCTACTTCGATTAGGAAAGTTTTGCCTTCGAGCTTAACCCGAGTTAAAAACTTCACCTGCAATAATCATTTGCTGTTGACCATATAAAGTAGACATTAAAGTCACCTTTACAGTGCTCGACCCGAATGTAACCGCAAAAACTGGCACACAACCAAGATTCGAAATCCAGCAGTTTTCCATGGCAAAAACCCGTAACCAGACAATGTTCGTTGATGGGGACAAGAAAAGTTTCCCATCTCCGGGCATGTGTCCCTCTATCTGTGCCTCTGTTTCGGTCACAAATTGCAGTTGGAGCTCGGTGACAACCACAAAAATAAGTGTTTACAGCATTGATTACAAGAAATGGGCGGTGGTTGAGGCAGTGCCACAAGCATCACAAGCAGGAGTGCCACCGTTTGATGTTGATTAGAGCCGCACCCAGCCACAAACATTTTTGCATTTCTTAAGATAGTATACCGGGTAGTATGCACTGAAAGAATTCAAGTGATTTTGGGTAAAATATTTTTGATAGAAGGGATTTATAGGTACAGATTTAATCCCGGGGTCTTAAAAATCTGAATACCCCCATATTTAAAGAGCAAGAATCCTCCGTTTCATACATCCTTTATCGGTATTCTTTAAAGAAAGTAAGTTTATCTTTCCGTAAACATAGCCACATACCATACCCTAAACATTATTATTTAGTCAATACCATATTTAAGGCTTTAAATCTTAGGACAAAATTAATTTGATCATTTTATAGATCTTCCAAACATTGGTTTTCTATTAATTCTTAGTCAGGGGTCATTTTTGCGACCACAAGTTATACTAAAAGCAGGGTTTAAAGTTTGAACTCTAAATTTTCATACGTCTTATAAACCTACTTTTAGCTTTAAAAGTGTATGAGGAAAGTATGATAATTTAAAAGTAGATTTTTTTAACCTACGGTTAGTTTATCATAGAAACGAGAAAACGATCCCAAGAATAATTTGGAGCAAATAAGATATTTTTGATGACTTTTCGGATTATTTTTCTTCAGTGCACTCCCTTAGTCAGTTAGCGTGTCAGTAGTGCCAGGGGATTGACCAAGTCTGCTTCTGGGGGCAGGGGCATGGGCAGGGAGAGGGACAGGGGCAGGAGCATCTGGGGCAGGATGCTGGGCTGCTTTGGCTGGTTTTGCGGGAATTGGTTTAGGTGTCAACTCTGCGGCCGCACACAATTGACAAACAGTGACACCCTTTTTGTGGCACTTCCGTTGCGTTTGTTTGCTAGTTTACAACCCACCCATACCCCCCCTTGCAATTCCCTCGACCATGTCCTTGTGCTCCTGCTGCCGGCTGCCTGTTGTGACAAAAGTTTATACCCCAAGCATTTGAACTGCATTTCATTACGGCGAGGACCCCAGCAACTGGAACTGCTTCTGGACTCGTTGGAGGGGCTACGTTCTATATGGGGTTGCGGAATGCAAATGGTGTTGGCGCCATATTGAAAGCTAGGCAAAACTCGGCGGCCAAGGCAGTCCTCGTCCCCCTTTTTCACCCATTTTCCACCCTCCAATTTCCATTGCCCGCATTTGCAGCCGCAGCGTCAGTCTTTTGTGGCTTTCAGGGGGGTTTCCAGGGGGTTCCGCAGGGGCTGGAAAAACCCCCAACGAAGCGTATAAGTGGCCCTTATCCCAGCTTGAACTTGGGGGGCGGTACAAACATCACCCGCTCGGCTGTATATTGTATTGGCAAATATTCTCATGACAATAGGAATTTTTATTGAATTTATGCAAAAAATTGCAAATTTCATTTGCCACTAACACAAAAAGAGTTGTGTGTTCGCAGTTGTGTAGTGGATAGAACACAAAAAAAAAATAAAAAGAAAAACATTTTCCATATTTTTGCAGTATCCAGCATGTTGTTTTTGCGTGTGCCTGGCTAAATTTTGTGTTTATGAAAAGTGGGCGGGGAAATGGAAAGGAAAGTGACACCAAATGAAATTGCAGGAAATGCATTTGTTATTTGATTGAAACTTGAAATCAAAATTAATTTTTGATATGCTTTTATTGCCTTCTAAAACGAATTACAACAGAACTGATTTGCAATTTGCATTCATCATAAAATCCAATAATAAAGAACAATATAATTGCCGGCTCTAGAATTCAGTTTTTAGTTTTTCCAAGAAGTATTCTATGTATTTTTGGTCTTTAGGCGCTCTATTGAATAGACGAGCATTGGAAATGGCAATGTTTGATTCGGCCTCATTGTTTAGACGAGCCAGAGCTCCGGCTCTATAAAGCCAGGCCTTTAAATGTAGAGGATCCAGTTTGAAGATCACATAGTTTAGATCAAAAAGAGCCAGTTTAAAGTCTCTTTTTCTGAGGGAAGAAACATTTTGAGTAGCCTTTTCATATTCCCTTGAAAGTTATAGACTTACTTGATTTTAGCCAGGGCACGGTTACAATAAAGTACTGGCGAATCGGACACGTATTGAATAGCCTTTGAGTAATAATAAATGGCCTTTTCAAAGTTAGTTCGGCGGTATTCCTCGTTGCCCAATCTATTTTTTGAGGGGAATTCGGAATAAAATGAAATATATTATAAATAAATTTTAGATTTAACCTACCTCCGAAAACTATCTGCAACCACTTCACGATCTCTTCGTGCTTCTGCACGATCTTTTGGTGATGTGTCGATCTGTCGCATACAGGTGATTTGATTGGTATTGGAGCTCTTTTGTATTTTTTTAAAGTGTCTGGAAGATTTCTTGCGAATATCCCGGAAGAACACTACAAAACTGGTATCTGTCACACCTTCTGAATGGTCAACCTCCGGTTTTTTCTCCTCCTTGCCCTTGGTGCCAGTGCTGTGAAATAAATAAAGGGGTAAACCATTTAAATTAACAGATCTGCAAAGAATATTTAAATATTCATACTCCATTTTGTTGGCATTCAAAAGATCATCCAGTTGCCGCATCACATCCATAATCAATGAACGTTGATTTAAGAAGCTTTCATCGGCATCCATTTTTTGTGATTTTCTTTAGCTTTCCAGTATTCGATCTATTTGTAACCCAGTGTAGAAATAAACTGACAGACCGAACTTTCATTTTTTCAATGGCCAACTTGGCTAATCTTTTCGAGAAAGCAATTATCATTATGTTCAGTCTAATGCCTCTTGACTTCACTTCACTGGCTGCGCTTGCAACGTGCAACATGTGTATGCTGGCAAATTAGACAGACAAGCCAACTGACATCTGGCTCGTTAGCCAAGGAGCAGCCTGTGGTTTTTCAGATTAGCTCAATTAAAATTTTGTGGCATTAAAATTGTCTTGCCATACGGCAGCAGCAGCAGCAGCAGTTGCATGACGCTCTGTGTGGCATATAAAGGTCTACGAAAAACATTATACACCCCAACCTTCACCCCCACCTCCACACACACATTTTCATCTTTATTTGTGCCTGAAATTATTTAATTGAGTTTGTTTGAAAATTTCTTTTAAATTAAGAAAGTTTTTGCACGTGACGTTTTTTCACTCTCGTGGTGATTCACAACTTTATTTGTCCCCGTGCAGAAGGGTGAGTTCGGTGGCAGGATGAGGTTCGACCAAAGCAGCACGTGCTGCCACCCAGTTGGCAAAGTAAAGTTTGTGCCCTTTTCTATTTTTTGGTTTTTGTGTCATATCTAGGGTAATCCAAATGATAATAATCCGATTAAATCGCGCATATGTCAGTCCGTGTGGGAGTAGATCTGACCGAAAGTTGAAGCGGCTTATGTATTTGTATATCTGTAAAAGCGTACTAAAACAATATTATTTAGTTGCCATTTTCTCAGTTATTGTCATAAATAACGTAAGCAATAAAGCAGAGTGGATAGCAATGGAATATATTTAATGTTTTCAGAAAATAAAATAGGTTTTTTCGTCTACGGTGAACCAAAAATATACTTTTAGAATCAATTCTAAATATTAAAAACTACAGCTATCTGCAATAACGTCATATTTAGCTTTGGGGTGGTAATTTTGTTCATCATTTTTTATGAGCACATCACTTGGACGCATATTATTTTCAATTTTCCATTAAATGTGGCGCACGTCTTGCTGAATTTGCTCATTAATATTGGTTAGGAGTCGCTGCAGCTTTGAGTTCCTCAGACGGGATGGTCAGTGGCCCAGTAACCCACTGCGTGGCATGCAGCACATCCTTAACCCACTGAACGCCATTTAATATTATTTTTATAATTATTTTTATTTTTTAAATATTTTTGCACTTTAAAATTGGTTCTCTAATGACAAACAAATCTTTCAAGCAATTTTCAATATGAAAACCTTTTAATTTCATTTCGTATAACTTTGGAGCAATAGAAACTCTTATTCGGTTATGGTAGAAAATAAAAAAAAACATTAATATTTTTAATATAATAATAATATAATATATTGTATAATCTATTGGATATAAGCTCCAAGAAAAAAAAGGAATTTTGTGAATGGTCTATTTTTTGGCCCCAATTTTTTTTTGATGGGTTAACCTGGGGTTGGACTATCCTGACTAAATGTGCGAACATTGCAAAAGCTTGGCATAGTTACAGGCGATGCTGCTTTGCTGTCACGCGGACATTGACGACTGCGTTGACAAGTGGCTCTGGCAGCAGGACGACAACAACATCAGGAAGGGACGACCAGGACGACATGGACGAAGGACGTGTGGACGTCCCTGGAGAAATGTGTCAAGCGCGGCGACTTGAGCTGCATAACCAAGCAGGAAGTGGCAAGTCGATGGCGGGGGGCCAAGTATTCCCGGCTCAACGTTAAGCTCACCATTGTTTCGAACTTTAAACTTTGCTTGCCCGCTCTCGCCAAGATTCCTTACGCCCCAACTGCAAAACTATTTTAAAGTCCAGTTTAAAGTTAGGATGGGCTTCGGGTTGCGCTATCAAAAACGCTGACCGCCTGCAGCAGTGCGACTTTTCAGCTCACCTTTTCACCTTTGAAGCGAGTGGAAAGATACAGCAGAAGAAAAATTGTTGGTGAAAAGCCGACAAAGAACAGGTGAAGGTGCATTTTAAGATACCCTTAGAATGGGACATCTTGTGAAACAATGGACCATTTCCAATTGCCTAATTCCATTAAATTTTAGGTTTTTGCTTTTTGAGGTTTCTTTTTCATTTAAGATTAAAAATATTTCAAATTAAATGTAAAGTATATTAACCCAAAAACAATATTGCATAATCAAATATTTCTGATATTTTAAAGCCGTAAGTTCTTTTATGTTTTATTTTTATTTTAAGAATTAATTTGATTAAAATAAAATGTTTCGAAAAGTCCGACCCGTTTTTAGGGGATTTTTAAAAATTCCAAAAGTACTCAAGAAAATATTTATAATTAATAAAATCACTTTCCAACTAAATTGGTAAAATAATGCAACTGATTTTTCGAAAAAGATTATATTAGATTTCTTGTAAGCCCTACAATTTGATGGCAAATGAGTTGAGCAGTGGCTGATACCCTTTGAACCTTTGTTCTCGGGGTGTTTCCCGAAAAGGGCCTGTGCCAGTCAAGAGTTCAACTCCAGCGACAGGCGGTATGAAGCCAAAGACAAGCAAAGATTATACATTGCCCAGCCGGCGGGCATGCTTTGTAAGCGAGCTGGAAAAAGCAGAAAAAAAGCAAAGCACAAAATAAAAGAGCAGTAGGGCGCGAAGAACGTGCAGAAATAAATTGCATAAACGCTGGCGCGCGCGGCAAAAAAGCAGAAAGCAAACATGTTTAAAATGTTGTTATTCACACACACAGTGAGCAAGGGAAAAGGAAGGAGGCCATGGAACTCCAACCGCCGAAAGGACCTCAAACTTCGTCCTTGCCCCCAAAAAGGCCTGCCGCCCAACTGACACAAAGATTTGCCTGCGCCCTTTTGCAACATTGTTTGTGGGCCTTGTTTCTTGATTTTTACCCACTTTCCCTTTGTACTTGGCCCTTCCCTATTTGCTATCTACCTTTTGCCGTGTTTTATTTACCTTGTTAACCTTTTCATGTTGACAAACTGCGGAAATGGTGGTGTGTTCGCTTGTAACACGGCGATATGAAAAGTGGAAATCTCTGGAAATTTGTTATAAGCGAAAAGTGTCTCACTGGAGCTTCGGAAAAATATAAGGAAAATTATTGCAATACATATATTTATAAAACGCTTGTGGGCCACCAGAACATTGTGATAAAACTTTAATCTTGCGTTGCATTTGTATTTTTTGTAAATTTTATTAAATTTCAAACATAATCAAAGCCGCAAACATTTTTATTAAAAAAAACTGAAAAGCAATTTGAATATACAAATTTAATATGCAACAAACAACACACAAACAAAATTTGAATTCATTTTTAGCCCCGGCACTTTCCGAACATACATATACAATTTTTTAATAAGTTTATCAGCCAAAATTGAGCGAGTCAAAGGCAGGCTCACATTATACTTATCAAGTATACGCCATGTGTTACCCGCAGCAGAAGCAGCAACGAGGAGAAACCAAATTAAATGCTAAATTAAAAATAAGATCAAAAGGATTTGGTAGAGGCTGATGCGTAGGCAGAGGCACAGAGAGAAATAAGCATTTTTCATTTTATTTTTTGGTTTTTTTTTTTTTGTGTTTTGTAACTTTTAATATTGCCCCGTAGAATTTGCATTTGATATTTGCATGTTGAGTGTGCGCTGGTGTCCTTTATTGTGTGTGTTTCCTGGGACAGGACAGGATAAGCGTATTAACATGCAAGGCATATTAGGGATAACTGCAACACACAGCAGACACACGAGAGTCGGGGGACCAAACAGGACAAAACCAATAATGCGCATATTAGACTTGATGATGATGACAATGATGATGCGCCCGCCCTTCGGACCTGACTACTCGTCTATCTCTTTTTTCATACCCTCTCAAGGGATCATATACAATTTTTACTAATTTATAATATATAATATATATAATAATAATAATGCAGATATTGATTTCACAACATCATCTGAATACTCGTATTTCCAGGATCTATGAGAACATACCCTTGGAATATAATGATTACAAGTTAATCGTTGATAATATTTATCTACTTTTTCTACCAAAAAGATTAGCGCTTTAGGACTCTTATGTAAAAGAAATATTTAACTAAACAGTTTAACTAAGTAGTTTATAGTAAAAGATCCTTGGAAATATTGGTTGGCATACCAACTATAGCTTAAACTGTTCATTAGATTTAAAGAGCCCAGTTTATTTCGATGATGAATTTTAGGGTAGGGTATTCCCATCTTCGATCTCTAAACCTTAACTTAAAATCAGCTCCTTCCTCTTCCTTTTGAAATTGATGTTGTTGTGGCTATTGTTTCTTTCGAATTGACCGCAGTGAGCTTAAACTGTCCATTAGATTTAAAGAGCCCAGTTTATTTCGATGATGAATTTTAGGGTAGGGTATTCCCATCTTCGATCTCTAAACCTTAACTTAAAATCAGCTCCTTCCTCTTCCTTTTGAAATTGATGTTGTTGTGGCTATTGTTTCTTTCGAATTGACCGCAGTGAGCTTAAACTGTCCATTAGATTTAAAGAGCCCAGTTTATTTCGATGATGAATTTTAGGGTAGGGTATTCCCATCTTCGATCTCTAAACCTTAACTTAAAATCAGCTCCTTCCTCTTCCTTTTGAAATTGATGTTGTTGTGGCTATTGTTTCTTTCGAATTGACCGCAGTGAGCTTAAACTGTCCATTAGATTTAAAGAGCCCAGTTTATTTCGATGATGAATTTTAGGGTAGGGTATTCCCATCTTCGATCTCTAAACCTTAACTTAAAATCAGCTCCTTCCTCTTCCTTTTGAAATTGATGTTGTTGTGGCTATTGTTTCTTTCGAATTGACCGCAGTGAGCTCATGTCGGTTGCATTTTGTTTGTGTGCAAAACTGGGCTGCATTCTGGTGGGAAATTGAAGGGGAAAAGAAGGGGATCAGACCCAGATGTTGAACCAGGATGTGGTGCAGCGAGGGGATCCTTTTCCCGGACGAGGGCCGGCACTTCGTCTAAGCCAAAAACGTGCACAGTCTCTGGCAATCAACTTTAATAACATCACAGAATGTCAATAAATCCACAAAATGGTTGAGCCATCCTTGCAGTTACTCCCGGCATCTCATCCTCATCCTGTTGGTCCGGCATCCTTTCTACGGATGATGATGATGATGATGATGATGATGATGATGGTGCTGCCCCTGCCGGGACTTTTGCTGATGTCCAGCAAGAGTATCATTAACAAAAGGAACTGCGTGCTGCAGCTGACCGAAAAGAGATGCCACAATGCCGATCCATCTCCCTGCCATCCACCTCCTATTTGCCCCCTTCCCATACCCATTGAGGCAACCTCTTTTAACCGGATGAAAGCAACTCGAGCTGCTTATTGGATAGTCTCCTCCTGTGGCCTCTCGTATGGCC